TTCAAAACGAAAATCTGTAAAAAATCGCACAAGACTTCTTAGATTTAGATGCTTACTGTCGTCCGATAATTTAAAAGTGTAAGTATGGGTGATGGAGACAGTAGTGTTCACAGTAAATTAATTACATCAAGGCGATACGGGAATACTCTGGTACAAAAAATTGAATGCAAAAATTTGCTTCAAAATTTCTGCAAACAACTTCGTGACTTGTCTAATAAAAAACGAAACTCGTCGACAAATCAAGCTGTACCAATTTTCTTCAGAAAACTGATTTTAAAAAGCATAATGCGCCTACAAACGGCTTGTAATAAAGCTATATTACATAGAATCACAGAGGAGAGCTCCGTTACAGATAAAATTAAAAGCCTTTGCAAAGATTTCAAAAATATTCCTTTTCATGTGTTTGGCGAACACTTAAAATGTCAAGATATAGGGTATTTTGAATGTAATCCCAGTACTGCAGAGACAAATTATGTTCCTCATATGAAATCGTTTGGCCTATATCAAGATATAGAAAACTGCTTTATAGATTAATTTATAACGCTTTTAGTTTGATTCACAATATAAATACCAACTTGGCCGAACAATACAATTCTATCATTAGTAAATTTGTTGAGGGGAAACGCATCAATTTTTCTTCAAGAGGATCGTACTCGACCCGGTGCGAAGCTGCTGCTATATCCTTTAATGTTGGTAGTGGCGACTATTATAAAGAAATTACAAAATCTCTGACAAACAAAAGTCCAAAAGGTTACACTCAAAAGTATATGTTAAAAATTATTAATCGCAAGAGAATGCGAGGAATGAAAGGAAGAAAATTATTTAGAAAACGGTCAAAAACAAATGCTTTACCAAATAAAGATTACGGTCTTCTTGACCATGAGAATGTAATACCGGATTTAAATGATGAGGAGTATCAAAATAAAAAAGAAATATTCTTAAAAGAATTACAAAAAACTCCTCATGAAATAAAACTGATTGAAAAAGAGACTAGAGGCCAAGGAGGAAATCCCATATGGAAACAGGCTAGAAGTGTACGCATAACTGCTTCTAATTTTGGCACTATTTGTAAAATGCGGTAAAAAACAAATTGTAAAAATTTTATAAAAAAATTTGCTTTATTCTAAGCACATGGAAAATGAATACACAAGATAGAGCTTAGAAAAAGAACTAATAGCAATAAGTCAATTTTCAGAAAAAAATAATATGCATGTCAAAAATTGTGGTTTGTTTGTCGACCAGGATTTATGTTATTTAGGGGCTAGACCTGATGGCCTGGTAGAAACTGATTATATAATTGAAATTAAATGCCCAGCTTCTGCATCAAAGTTAACATCGCAGAATGCAATAAGGCAAAAAATTATAAAATATGTCATAATTGACGACAATTTTAATATACATTTAAAACAAAATCACAACTATTTCTACCAGGTCCAGGGCCAGCTTCACATAACAAAAAGACAATGGTGTTTTTTCGTGGTTGAACCCCTCTGGGTTTTTTAGTGCAAAAAATTGAACATAACGATAATTTCTGGAATAACACAATGCAAAGTAAACTCGTGTTTTTATATGAATTGTGTTCTGCCAGAAATAATCGACTCTCGCTTTATAAGGGGATTAAAATTACGAAACCCTCCTCGAAATGCTCAATAATAAGGATTGTAATAAATGTTTTTTATAAAAATTAGTTATATTTTTATATAGCAGTACATTGTAAGCGAGTAAGGTCCTGTTAAAAAAAATATGTTTACTAAATATCCTGTATCGTCAACCGACAATTTATCCATACATTACCATAGCAATGTGCGAAAGTAAAAAACACTTTATTTCACTGTAAAAATCAAATATTTTATCTGCCGTTAATATTTATCAACATAGCCGTGGCCGTCTGACAGAAATAGTCTGTAACTGATTTGTTTTGTATTCGCTGTTATTTTTCTGTTTGTTTACGTTGTCATACTAAAATGTAATATTATATCTCATTTCTTATTAATTATAATTATTTACGGTTAGCGATAAAAGTTTGTATGGACCATAATCTCAGGCTAGTTTGATAAAGAATCACTTTGCTGACTTGGTACATAAATAACTATTATCTGTCGACAATCTCGTACATACCTGCGATTATCTAAATATAATTTACAATTATTGATTTTATTTGCAATTAAATCAAAATTTTTATGTTTGCAATAAATCTATATATTTTATGTTTTTGGCGCATGCCATTATTTTATATTTTCTTTCATGTTTGTATAAAAAGATCAAGTCGATAGCTCAATATTTAGTTTTCATTCTACAGTAATGTAAATAATAGTATTATTTAATAATTGCTTATTTTTTGTGTTTTTTTTTTGTCACAAAAAATGTCTGTCCTACATAGGTACCTACTAAAAAATGTCGTAAGTGGCCGTTTCATATACTACTTATTTACATAATACCCACATAGGAATAGCGTCTGACATAGGCGCCGGAATTCAAAAATTGCTTTGGGTGCCCGGCTTCTATGCGGAAAATGGGGGCCACTCACCACACTTCACTTAAAGGCACCACCGGTTTTTTAAAAAGCTATTTTAAAGTTGATTTTATGAATATTTTCTTGAAAGAAAAAGGTATTGTCAACTGTCCAATTGCTGGATAGGCTGAAGGCTTTCACCTTAAACGGGATATCTAGCAACCTTATATGCTCGGTGCTGCCACCACTGATATTTTGAAGGTAGTTTTACATAGATTATAACTTCCGAGTTTTAAATCGCTACTGTCTTCCTAACCATGTTCTTCTAATGATTTTTATTTTCTGTAAAAGCCTACCAGTTACTTGAGTAAATGCTAGAAGTACTGACCCTGGGTCTCCATGCAATAATACAGGTTTTGCTCAAAATGCTCTCGGGCATTTTAAAGCATCTGTGGGGTGATTTGATGACATTCATCAATTATCCGTTGTCGCAGATTTTCCAGTGATATACATAGCATACATTTTAGTTTTTAAGTGGCCCCATAAAAAATCCAACGGACTTAGATCCGGAGACTGTGGGGGCCACTCAATACTTCCTCTTCCGATTATGGAAACCTGAAAACGTTTGATCCAAATACTGACGAACAGTGGCGCATCGTCATGTTGGAATATTAAGTTGTTTGCTATGTACTGATTGTCATTCTTAATCAACTCTAGTAATGCCGGATAAATAGCGATTTCTAATAATTCCAGATACATTTCTGCAGTTAAAGTTTCTGTTAAAAAAAGGGGCCCATTGTACGGTTACCAAAAATGCCAGCGCAAACATTCATTTTTTCCGGATGTTGCGTATTACACTTCATAAAATATTCTGGGATTTGAATTTGACCAATAACAACAGTTGTGACGATTAACCGTACCATTTAGGAAAAAAGAGCATTGTCTGTCCGTTCAGTCATAATTTCATAAAATTGTAATCGCCTATCAAAATCATCTTCGTTAAGTTCTTTTACCAGATGTATTTTGTAGGGATGAAACTGCTACGTCTCTTAATACCCAATGTTATCGACAACTGCCTTGTACTCAACATGAATTCTAGAACATGTCCTAAAATCGCCACCTCTGTAGCTTCATTTACTATAGAATTTTTCATTTCTCGTTATTTGTTAGCTACTGACCCCGTTTTCCAAAATTTTTGGACTAACTCCAAAACGTAGTTTCGATGGACTTGTCGATTTCGATGTTGATTGTTAAACAGTTAAGCAGTTCTATTAGCACATTAATTGTTCGCAAAAAAAAGTGGAATTATTTGCACCCTCTCAGCAATAGAGTAAACCATTCACTGATATGCCACTTTTATGCCGATTCTACAACGAAATAAACTAAACCTTACTATTTTACGGCGACCAAAGAATGTCGTCATCTGATAACAATAATTGAAAGCCACAGGAATAAAAGTAGAATTGTTATAAAGAAATTCTTTTTTTTTAATAACAATGTAAAAATTATGTTAAACCGGTTTTGTACTTTTGGTGAGCTACTTATGGGCTACATAGATAGTAGCGATGTAAAACTTGGGAGTTATTATCTAGGTAAAAATACCTTTAAAATAACATATCATTCGACCAATCTTTCCATTTAAGATATAACTGGTGAGTCTCACCCCCCTATAGAGGGTTTCCGCTCAGGGGGTGAAACTGCCAAAACAATGTTTCACCCTAAAAAACAATTGACGGGTCCAAGCGTTTTTTAGTAGATGAACTGGTTTCTCGCCAGCAATACCAGAGAGCTGTTTTTAACTCTAAATGAACGTTCTTTTCTAACGGTGCTTGATCGGGAGCAACTTTCAAATGTTCTCCCTTTTCCCCTCAAGCATTTGCTCAATGGCATATATACAAAGATCTTGTCTTGATAATTGTAGATGGTTATTAATCTTTCTTTTTTGACGTCATAGGGTTTTATACACCAATAATAATAAACCTTTAAGTCCAAGTTCAACGCGTTGTCTATGACAAATCACGGCGACTTTTTTCATCACAAAATATACAGCTCCGAACGATAATATTTTATTAAGGCATCTGTCGCTATACAACTTGGTCCACGACAGCTTCTTTATTTCACTTATTGGCACTTCTGTCCTCGTTGTGCTATGGGTGCTCCGCACCCTCTTTAAAACTGCTCTGGGTGCTTGCGCACCCAGAGCCCCAGGGATTCGGCGCCTATGGGGTCTGATTTGGTTCTGCGCAAATTTTTATCATCTCTGGCAATAAGCGACTTTTGTACTAAATTTTGCTCTACAACGCGCAACCGACTTGAATAGGTATCTCCGAGAAGCTATCCCATAAACACCAAGCGCGCGACGTTGCCAAATTGGGCTAATATGTACAGCGTCGCGTATTGTTTTAGCAGATTTGAAATCTGAATTAGGAGCGTACTGGATAACGCTCTTAAAAATTAAAAATGAAAATAAAACTGATTAAGCAAAAATTGACTTCATTACACTTTTTACATTTAAATTATAATTTTTTAATCATTTTTCTTATTCCAGTACCAAATGCACGGCTCTGCAGGCCTTCACTCCGCTTTGGCGATAAAACGCCAACGACGTCATCGCGAGCAAGTGAAGAAACGAGCTGCAGAACGAAAATTATCTAACAGAACCAACAGTACCGATAGTATAGAGCAGCCAATTAGAAGAGAAAGTTACCATCCTCCAAATGACAATACTCTTGCTACATCAATAGGCGTTCTCCATCTAGGCGTGTGCTTCATGGTGCTGGGATGCTTTCTAATTGGATCAGGTCAGAAGATTTTCATTTTTATAAAACTATTTTAAAATACTCGACAATTTGATTCTGCAACTAGTTAGTCATGCAATAAAAATAATTCATAATAGTTAAATGGGTTTCATAAAAATTATCTTTTCAAATTGTACTCCATTCAGCTTTATTTTCAATTATAAACTTTTAATTGATTCAACCGATTTAAATTAAACTTTCGAAACAAAATAAAATTAATATTTTTAATTTTAAAATACCTTGTTTTTGCATAGGATTTTGAGCGAGCTGCTTTTTTACAAATTTAATTGCTGCTGTAAAAAGTAAAATATTTTAATCGAATTTCTCTACCAAAACGTTCGAGAGTGAAAGGATTAATTTTTGCTGAATTTCAATTAATTACATATTTTCAAGATTTTCTTGTTGAATAATACAGTATGGTGCAAATGTAAGGAATAAATTTAAGAAACTCCAAATTGGTAGTTCCCAATCTATCTTGACAGAGGCTTCACTAGCAAATTCGTAGTATAAAAGAAACAATTTGATTTTGAATAAAATACCTACTTATAGGGAATACCTTAGACTCTTAGACTCCTAGATTATGTTTGAAAGGAGTTGGACATGATTTGTCCTTGTCCACCAAAATCTTCTTAGAACTATTGTGGGACCTAATTATTTGGAATATGTCGTCTAGCTTAGTCTTTTTAGTAACTCACGCATATAGTTATATACTTTTTTCACCTAGTGTCACAAACCTCAATCTAGCCAGGTTTCACACTGGCACAATCCTCTTCTTCTTCACAGATCCTCCACAATAATGCTTCTTCTGCTAGATTGATGTATCTTCTTAGGCGACAGTAACCGGTATGAGGATCTACTGTTATCCTAGCGATTTGTCATTTTTGATTCAGTGGGTCTTTCGTAAACTTAGTCGACGGTTCCTTAATAAACTCTCTTTTCTTCTTATTATTATTAATTAGATTTAAGGAAAGTGAAGAGGCCAATACTTATACTATTCCCCAACCTACTTTTGACAAATATTCGATATCGTGCAAAATATAGAACGAGACAGCCAAAATGGAAGCAGAAGATGCTTCAATTACGAAAGAATCGGGCACCTTCAAAAAATTTGTAGAAGCAGGGCTCGTTCTATAAATTTAGAATCAGAGAATGAGGCCAAAAAGTGGCATAAATAAATCTCCCGAAGCCCGTCACGAAGTCCAACAAGAAATAATTACAGCAGATATGCGTCCCGGAGAAGCCAATCGCTCTCACCTGGCCGACTTTCTAGCAATAACCAGGAAGTAGAGAAACGAAGAGGCCGTCTCCATAGCAACGCGGACATTCTCTCCAGGCGACTCTCTTAAGAACGACAATGCCGGTACATTAAAGGACTCGAAGAACGAGAGAAACCGGTTCATAAAGTTACTCTTCGGGCAACTACTATCATGCCAGAGGCCGACGAAGAAGAAATTACCCTTGAAAGCCTGAGAAAGGGACAGAAGAAAGACAATGACTTGAAGGTTATCTAAGAATGGCTCAAAAATTAGGTCACACCTACTTGGCAAGAGATAGTCAAATACAGTGGAGCTATTAAAGGGTACTGGATTCAGTGGGATTCCCTGTATTTTCACGATAGCCTATTGTACCGGGAGTGAAAGAGCCTCGACGGAGTTCATATAGTTCGCCAAGAGATACTGCCAAGATCACATGTCAGAAATGTGTTGGAGGAGCTTCATGGCAGCCGTCGGGAGGACATTTTGGTACTAAAAGGACGCTGGCACGAGTTAGGGAAATATTTTATTGGATCAATTGCCGACGGGATGTAGAGGATTGGTGTAAAAAATGTGATGTATGCAATGGCAAGACAAAGGTCTACAGATTCGCTCGGGACCGTCTAAAAGTCAACAGCGACAAAGCAGAAGCTAGAATTGACATGTGTGCCACCAGGACACATTTTGAAAGAGGCGACCCAGTATGGCTGTGCAGTCCCAACCGCCGAGGAAGACTTTGTCAGAAACTGCAACATAACTGGAAAGGTATCTACATCGTTCTTAAGAAAAATCAACGACCTGATTTACCGTATTCAGCTGGCAGCGGGAAGCAAATCCAAGGTAGTTCACAAAGCGCCATACCGTGATCCCGACCCTCCCCGTTAGCTCCAGTAATCAAGTTATTCGAGACGAATAACTAGAGAGAAGGGAGCAATGTAATTCATAACCCTACAGTGTGGTACAGTCGTCATAAGTAAAGGTACTATTAAAAGAAGAAGGGAGAATATTTGAGAAATGTCTAGAAATGTCAATCCACGTCAAGAAACATCTATACGCACATACTTTGATTTTCTTTTACTATACGGAGAATGGTCGCACTGCGCAGCTTTCTGAGTGCCTTTTAAAAGGAGATAGAAAACTCCGCCATTTTGAACCCTTATTACGTGTTGCCTACATCTTGGCGCAATATTTTTAATAGGTGCGTTTTAATCATCCGCTTCTGCTTCGGTATTGTCAGTTTTCTTGTTTTAATTTGATAAGTTAAAACGACTAAACCGACAATTCCGGAAGCAGAAGCGGATGATTAAAACGCACCTGATATTTTGCTTGCGGCTGTCAGTGTCAGTGAATATTATTTTTTGAGTCACAGATTATTGCTAACGAATCAGTTAGCTCACTCGGATCAATTGAAAGTTTCAAAATAAGATCCACTCCAGGGATACAAATTTAGGATACGCAGAAGACACCGGTTTATTATAGGCGGTTGTTATATATTGTATTATCCGAGTTGCGCAGTGTATAAACTGGAACACTGAGATCAAAAGTGCCGACGCAGAGTGAGCAATCTGATTCTTTAGCTATAAACTGTTGCATAGGGTTCAAAATGGCCGGGCCCTATGTTGGGCGTGTCGGACCTCTCTCTTGCGCCGTATAGTAAAGAAAATCAAAGTATGTGTCTATACGTTTCGGGAAGGTTAAAGCGATCTATATCATGGTTTAAAAAATAAAAGGTAGGATATTAACAGTGTCAAAAATAGAACGGCCATGCGCATGACGTCACGCGTAGAGTTTGTATAGGCTCGAATTTAAGAATACTGACGAACTGTGAGAAAAATATTATGCTATTTACAGAAATTTCTTAAATATTAAGGATAATATTTTAGGAGTTAAATGAAATAACTAAGGATATTATTATGAGATAGCTAAGGAAAGAACTATGAAGGAAAATAAATGCAAATACATACACAAAATTTATTTTTGTTATATTAATTCGAATGCCGGTTTTAAATTGTGAAGAACATTCGACCTTTAAAGAATAGTTTCTATAACCAGGATAACGAGAAGGGTCTCATCGTTACTCGGAACTTCTCAACTAGGGATCCTGGGTATAAGTTTTGCATCTGGAGACGCCGGAAATTTTTTACCTGATTAGGATTTGCAACTGGTGTGACTTAACTACTTATTTTATAAAAAAGATGGAATTTATGTATAAGTAAGATAACAAAAATTTGTTTTCAAAAAATATATTTCATACAATATAATGCATATCATAAAAAGAACGTTTCAAACACAAATAACTGCTACATGGTGGATGTATTTACAAAATGAAAATAAAATTTTTCCTGAACAAAGTCACTGACAGTTTATTAATTCTTTCATCAAGAACATGTACAAATTTTATTTTTTTGCAACATACAATTTCACGTTTGCTGTATATTTCAAAATTTTCAGCCTTCAAAAGGGTTGAGTCCCCAGTTAAGAATAGCCAAGTTGCGAATAAAGCAACGTGAAGTGCTGCTTTGAGGTCCGTTTTTCCGAATTCATTGGCCATGGCCATGGCCACTTTCAAAAGTTAGATTAAATTGGTAATTAATTCAAATTTTCACCTCACTTGTGTGGTCTCTCTTGTCATTTCGCTAAACCTATATCGAAAAGTCGTTTAAAAGTTTATAATTCAAGGTGAACTGAAAACAAAGCAAAGTTTAATTTATATTTGTTAATCATTATATCTATTATTACCAATCTAAATTAGATTCAAATAGTAAAGTTGCTTAAAAATAATAGCAGAACTCTACACTACCCGAAATTATTTATTTCCGGAACATTTCTTAAGTAATTTATGTACGAGACAAAGATCAAAGTTTAAAAGTTATTAGAAATTTAAATTCTCTGGGATTAGGTTATGTGTAGCTGGTAGACATTCCAACAAACTAATTTTAGAGCTGTCAATTTGCTATCAGGAAATTCTGATCATGTGAAACCGGCACACTTTAAAAATAACTAAATATACATCTTCAACATGAAAATAATGATACAAATTCTTATTCTAATTTGTTTTGTTTTCATAAACAATTAGGGTTTCAAATAAAATTAGAAAAGAGAAAGAAGATTTATGCATTTTACGAAAGTTGTATGATCTGTAAAGTAGAAAAAACTCAAAATTTAAAATTTATTGGAAACTATTTACGACTAGAAGAAAAGAAGATGCGTGGTGTAAGATATAAATTGAAACCTATAAAACAAATATTGGAGAAAGGAAAAATACATTATGACATCAAAGTTAACAATAAAGGCGGAAATGAAAAATTAACTGCCTACCCTTCTGTTATATAAACAGTAGATAAATAATGTTTTTATTGCCAACATGAAACTGGTATATTCTTTAAAGAGAGATAGCATCCCAAACCCCAGAATCCACCCAAACTTGATTTGATTGAAACTTTTAATATTGTTGCTTTATGTATAGGTCGAGTTGTATGGAAGTACGACCTACACCGACAGCACCATTTTATGTTTTCATAGGCGTATCCAACTATATGCAGTATGTTTAGAAAATTATAGAAATACAGGATAGATACAGAAATTTAATAACCTAGTAGGTACTTTTTTTATTTATGAAAGAAAGTATAAAATTTATAAACTCCAATTTTGTTAAATTATTTTTTTGAAAAATTCAATGTACATACATTATATTCTAAATACCCCTATAGAAAATATATAATTAGAAAGTGATGTAAATTTTGTATTAAAAAGAAAAAAACGGTAACACAATCATTTTGTTAAGCAGCTGATGAGTTTTTATTACCTCACAAATTTTTCAAAGGCCATTTGGAGATGTTTTTTAGCACTACGAAATTAAAGGTAGATTAAATAATCCAACAGCTTGGTAGATTGAACATATCTACAAGAAGTTGTTAATTTACTTAAAAATCAAGGGCACTCAATGTAAATATTACTGCTCTAGATTTCAAATAGTGTGAGAGGGAACAGATATCTGTTATCGTCCCTTTCATCAAGAGAAGAAAACTCGACAAGTTCTGACAAACTACCCTAGCCGGGAAAATAATTCATAGAGAGAGAGAGAGATGGAGTGTAAGTAACCATATCAAATAGAATAGGTCTGTAATAAACGTCGGACTGTAAATTCTGTCACGTGGAAGACGAATCCGCAGAACACATTCTATTTACCTGCTCCGTTTTCGAAAGAACTAGGTTCCAGATCTTCGACTTTATTCGAATGAACCTTTATTAAAAGGTGTGGCTTGTACGGTGTATTATGAGTTAAACATAAGCCACAACAGATCTGAATTGAATTGCAATTGAAAGCAATGAGATCACTCTACTTATTTTTAACCTAACCTAGTCAACTTTTGCCGAAATATTTTCGACAAAATGGAACATTTGCTTCTGTATAAGATATGCGTTATGTTTCTTCTGTTTACTGATAGATTCACAGTTTGAAGTTTATATGGGAAAAAAGATAGTTTGTGTTATTGCTTAGCAAGAATCTGGGGATTTTTCGTTGAAAAAATAAATTTTGATTCATGGTAACTGTAGGGCCATATTTATCATGCGGGTGATTTTTTTTTTCATTGGAAATGTTACTTTTATAACGACATGATCAGAATTGCCTACTAAAGAAAATGTTATTATAGAAATTAGTGGGTTTGTCTACCAAAAATGCGTATTTGTTTATCACAAAAAATTAACTTATAATCTTAATAAATAATGAGATCCTCATCCTGTTTTTAAACATTTATTATCTATTCAGTCATAAACCATTTTTGAACTAATAAAAAAATTTATAAGTAAGAATGAAGAATATCAAAGTATTATTTCAGACTACAGAGTAAGGCTCAACTATGTAGATAATAATTAGTATTATAATGATTAACAAATAAGTTTTTTAACTGTTAATTTATATGGAAATATTTTAAAACCATAACCAAGAGGAAAAGGATTAACTTTATTCCCGATAACTTTATGTGTTGCCATAAGAAAGTTGGTTTTTCGTTACAATTTTAAATTTATTTGCAAACTAAATGTATGGTTCCTTCTATGCGGCCGTCGCGCTGCGTCAGCCGCAACGCATTTCTACGCATGCTTTTAAACGTACCCGGTTCCTTCTGAGCGACCGTCGTGCGCGTCAGCCGCGAACGACTACGATCGTTGCAACTCTGTACTGCTCGAGAAGCAGTAAAGCCGCAGCCGCGAGAGCGTTTGTTGTTGTTTTGTGTGAAATTTTTGGTTAGATTTTTTATTTAGTAAATATTCAATTGGCATTTCTTGAATTAGAAAAGTACCCAAACATGTCGAAAGTGCTATTTACGGTCACTATTAGTTGAATTTGTGGCAAAACATCCCGCATTATTCGATTTGGCCCACACTTTGTATAAAGATTAGGTTGTTAAAGAAAACGCCTGGAAAGAAATAGCTGAGGCATTAAGCAGATCAGGTAAGATATTAGATACATAATTAGGTAAATAAAGTTAAGTCTAAAATTCAAAAATGTATGTAGTGTATTATTAGATAAAATAACATTAGTTTCTATCTGTTTTTCTGATAGATCCAATTTGTCATGGTATGCTACCCTGCCCATTGTTGAAATATTCCTTAGGTCTCTTATATAAAATCCATCTCCATCTGTAAAACCACCACCCCTAGCAAATTAAATGAAATTTCTGGGTAGTGGCAGCTCTTGGTCAATTTCATAAAAGGGATTATTGAAAGCTTCAAGGAATGCATCTCAAAGGAGGTTATGTAAACAATATAATTAAATCGTCAACTGTGGATAGATTCAAATCCATTATTGTATAAAAAATTCGAAAAATTTATCTTAGCAATCCAAAGGCATTTTCCGAGACACGTCGGGCCCTAGAAAGCCGATAATTAAAAATTGCTTTGCAATCGTCAGCGCTGGCTACTGGTCGGGGGAACGGTTTCATCATATGTGTACTTAATCTGAACACTTTATTGCCTACCAAGACGTATGGAAGAACCTATCAGTATTTGGTAACTTGTTTGGAGGTGGAAAAATGGAACCATTCCTGACTTGTTGGCCAATTTTTGATTTATTGAAAATCCCACTATCTCCTTCTTTTCCATATGAACCAACATCAATAAAAATAAATTTATAATTTGCGTCGACAACAGCAAGCAACATAATGGGAAAAAAAGTCCTTATAATTATGAAATAAAGATCCACTGTGTGAAGGACATCAAATTCGTATGTGCTTACCGTCGACAGCTCCTAGGCAATTGGGAAAATTCAATTTTTGACCAAATTCCTTAGCTTTTGCTTTTTTTCATCCAATCATAACGTCGGTATACATAATGAAATAAGGTGTCTTTTTTAATGATGATAATGTCTTTTTATGATTCTGCTAATATACTTAAAAAAAATATTTGATGATAATTATAATGAAAAAAAAAAAATTGGTTATAACATTATTTTACAATTTTAGTTGACGACTGCAAAAAACTTTGGAGAAATATTAAGGATACATGCAACAGAAAAAAAAAAGGGAAAAGCACAGGTTGTGCTGCATTGCCCAAACAGACGAAATGGGCTTTAGCAGATATGTTGTCCTTCCTGGACCAAACAGAGCACCAACGCCCGTAAGTTCTTTTTTAAAAAGTACTGTAAATATAATATGCAATTTCCATTTTTTTTGGTAGAAGTACATCTCTTACGAAGAGAACATGATGAGTGAGAAAGACACTGAAAATAATATTGAGTCAGTCTCAAGAATCATCTTGTTCAAGTAGTTCTGCCTCTGTCCTGACAGCAAACATTAACCCGACGCTAAACAAGGGAGCGGGTGCAATAAAAACAATTTTCCAAATCAAGTCGCAACAGAAAAGCGAAAATAAATGAAGACGTAATAACTACAATAAGAGAAAGAAGTGCTGAAATAAATGGAATCTTTAAAAAAATTGGTCTAACAAACCAAATTCTCTGGACTTGTTTTTCCAGAACATTTTAGCCTAAGTAAAAGCATTAAGACTCGAGTTAATCAATGAAGCAAAATTAATAATAATACACCTGGTATTCGAATTAGAAGAGAGAAATTCATCGAGTTCGCAACGAAATGCTTTTGAACTTCCACTAGGCCCAGCAACCCCCTCTGCTTCGAGTTCAGGCAATATACCTACGATTACAGTTCGCCGTCATCAGACAATTACTTATTGGAACTTTCCATCAAATAACTCTAATTTTTAAATTTGTTGATTCCATTACTCATTACTTTTTTTTAAACTTTTGTTTATTTTGATCTTATTTAATTTTTTCTTTTAGTTTAGTAATAATAAATATTTCATTGATTCGTTAGGCATTTTATTTAAACATACTGACTTAATGACTTACCTTAATATAATGGCTAATTGTTTCTCTGGACTTATGGGATATTGAACTCTGTTGTATGGATTGGTTTTTATATCGTCTTTTTTTAAGTCGAGAAGAAAATTAAACTGTGCTTTACATCATCCTGCAGCAGATGCCGATTTATCAGTGTAGTGTAACATTCCTCATCGCGTCTTTGTTTAAATATTGGATTTACAGGGGTATTGCTATTTTTTAAATTGGCTAATTGTAATAATTTTTTTTTATCTTCCTCTTCTTATAGTAATAAGTACATTATAAGATTATCCATCACGACTTTCACCAAAGATAGTTCTCTCTATACTGATCGTTCGCGAGCTTAAGTCGCGATGCGATGTTAAGAAACCACTCCATTGAACGGCGGCCACACGCGACGGCCGCATGGAAGGAACCATACCTTAAACCTTAAACAGAATATTTCTACTGCTATAATACAAAACTACACTTTGTCAGCTATTGTTGATCTAAGTAATCATTTGTTAATTATATCCTTATTTGATAACACATTTTATCGTCATGAACAGGGAACATTTTTCAATTAATCCTTTCTCTCTAATTTATTTATATTCTACAACCTGATGCATTTTATAATTTCTCCATCACTCAGGTCTTCTCCCTGACGACATTGTAACCTGGAGAGGTGGTGGTTGGTGGAACGAGCTGGTTGTTACAGGAATTTTCGTTTTAACCCTAGGATTATCATTAATAGTATTAAATCGTATTATGGGCAAAAAAGAAGAATTGGAACTCGAAGACTATGTATCACGCCAACTAACCAGATCTAGATCTGGCCACCGATTGGAGAGAGATGTAGAAACTGGTTGCCTCGCAACAAAACATCATAGAAAACTTCTTGAAAAACAACGTGAGGATAAACAAAGAGGACTGAATGACTTACCACCTACCCATATAAAAATGCCAATCCCAGAAAGTGAGACTTATCTAGAGAAGATCCTTGAAGAAGATGTCAACGAAAAAGAAATCGACAATCGACATTTTGAATATAAGGAAACAATGTCCACCACGACTACTGCAAGTCCTGGTACTCCCACTGAAATTCGGGAATTGCTTGCAAACGGCAGGCAGTATAGTTTTAATTCCAGACAGTATTAAGTTCTTAAGAAGCTGTGATTTTATTATATTTATTAATTACAAGTAATTTAGGAATGCAAAGGAACTTGAACTTTGAATAGGTTTCAGTAAAAAGGGAGTTACACATCATTGATGAAAGAAAGATTATTCATAATCTCGAATGCGGTCGATTAGTTTTTTTAGTAAGGACAAAACAATATCTAAAAATAATTTTTATTTGTATTAAATTGTTATTCTAGCGCCACTGGTTTTGCTGGCTTTTGTGGCTGGCCTATATGAACACTCAATGTAATACAACACAATGCGTTATTACTTAATTGATAATGAAATCCATAAACTGGGTAACGTAGCAGAAGTTCTTATTAAATAAATGTGATGCATGTGTAAATTATGTGTTATTATCTAGGTGAATTACCAAAACTAAGTTTGGTGTGAGAACCAATTACTACATTAGAGAAATCTGTGGCGAACATCTTAGGGTAATATAAATAAGCAATCATTCTCCTGGAAATTTTCAATTCTATGGGCAAATATGAGAAGCAGAAAAGAGATAGAGCGTCCCAAGAGGAATTATTCAAAGTTATAGAATAATCCCGATCTATTGTGAAATTAAATCAGCTTTATTTCTTTTCCTGTCCATGTAATTGCCAGTTTCCTGGATCCTGTCAGTTTTTCACATTCTAAGATATTTCTCTATTGTAAGAATTTTGTTCTTAGCCCAAACTTAGTATACATGTTTCACATTTATTGACATTTAACAATAATTTACCCTTTATATAGATGTAATTATTATTGATTAATAATTTATTGTATGTAGGTAAGTATCAAACAAATTTATTTTTTATACGTTTTTATACTATTTCTAACTTAATTTTATGTCAAAGGCATGATGATGCTCATATAGGCTGCAACTAGTAGTGGTAGTAAAACATTTTCTTCAAATAAAAAAAAATTGTGGACTGAATATCCAATAAAGGTATGGGATCATTTACAAAGATATTTAACAAACTTTTTTGTAAGCGAATGATAGTGTTTTATTCTTACTAAAGAGAAGAGATTTTGATGTTGTTGACCTATTTTGATTATAATATATGGGGTGTTAGTAAATAAGTGCGACAAACTTCAGGGGGTGGTTCTGCATGAAAAAATAATGACAATTTGCTATATGAACGTATGTCTGAAAATGCTTCGTTTTCCGAATACGAGGTGTTTACTTATTGCTCTGAATCCCGTCGAGATATGCAAATGAAATTTGGTGGGCTTTAAGAGGTAGTTTATTGCGCATTTTTTGACATGCATTTAAGAACTTTATGTTCATCATTGGCGCGCATACGGGTAATGATCTCAATTATTTTAAAGAAAAAATGGTACTACATTGAGATATTTCAAATTAAAACTCACTTCAGAGCAATAAACAAATCGTCAGTTTTTAAGAAAAACTTTAAGCATTTTCAGACATACGTTTATAATTCAAACTGTCATTATTTTTTCATGCTGAAGTTTGTCGCACTTATTTACTAACACCCCTCGGGTTCAATATTTATATATTTTACTTAAAGAAAATTTGTTAAATTAAAAACTCTATTTTATTTAAAAAAAATAACTTTGAGATTTTTGTTTATTTTATTGAACGAATTCATTAATGATTTTATGAATGTTTAAGATAATTTAAATAATTATAATTGGGTGCACTTTTATAAAACAATATCTATCAATATCAATTTGACAAATAGTCAAATCTTTATAACATATCTTTCAAGGACCAAAACAAATAGGTAAAAGTCTAGACTTTGTCAAATTAGTGTACTTACATTATAAGCAACTTTCAAAATAACAAAAGTTTTCGAAGAAAAAGAAAAAGATTTTGCTTTGTTGTCAAGGCTGTTTACGGGCGGACTATAATCTGCGGAATCATTTTATCAGCATTTTTATTTAAATAAAAATGAAATTTGGTGGGATGGTAGACATGGGTCCCCTGATACTACATCTAAGTTTGCGACCTCGGGAGGTTGCCGCTCGAAGGGTGGTGGGATGAAAACTATGCATCGCGACTCTTTTCGGAAAATAGCGCCGTTGTGGTAAGTGCTATCAAAAAAAAGTTCAAATGAAATATGTACAGGAGAAAATCGTGCACAATTTAAGTTTTAAGTTTTTTTTGTTTGCGTCCAATAGTTACTGCTCTACGACGCGCAAAACTAGGGGGTTGATTTGCAATGTTCAACAAAATGAGAATTTCAGCGTGAATTAAGACGAAGATCGCTACGAAACAGTTATGTTATATTTTTTTCTTAAAGACTAATGATTTCTGATTCTGCAGATGCCCAATTTGATACATTTGGTCGTATATAATAAATGATATATTGTTTTGAAGCACACCCCTACATATTCCGATATAAAAATTTTGTAATTATCAATATCTATTGTCAATATTTCCTTAGTTTTGTTAACCTAGGTGCCAAATTTATTCTTTTTGTGCATATATGATACAAGAAAGTATAATTTTCAACTCGTTTCCACACCACCCTTGAGGTAGAGTTGATCGGCGTGTTTTTTTTTTTAACGTGGTATCCCCAAGAAGCCTAATCCTCAGTCGATATTTGGGTTTATACGTCAAATAATGGTCAAACTCGGCGTTGTACGTTTGGTCCTCATCGTCCTGTAACTGATTGTGAACGTTTTTGGCATCTTCTGCATTTTCTGCATTGTCGTTGTCTAACGCAATCTGGTCCGCAATGTTTTCGCAGGACATCTCAGTACAGTGTAAACACAGAATCGAACATTTCAATCCTATTGTACGACAACCACAAGCAGATCCACAACCTTTCTTTCATCCGCACGAGATGCTCTTAAGTAAAACATCTGGAGCTGGTTTCTTTGCCATCCGTACTGCGTCCAGTCCTTTGGTTGTTCTTCGCCATCCTTGATCTTCTGGAGGTTTCTGAACTCTCCCCCAGCTCTGTACTTGACAATACGTACGCAATGAATGATGATGGCACTCATCTAATGTTGGTGACAGCGCCGCTAAATTTAATGAATTTTTGAGATGACCCGTACAAAGTTCGTATACTGCAGAGAGTTCACCTTGCGATGTTCGCTTCTTGCACCATACTGCCTCAACATAAACAGTTCGCCAGCGGCAACGACTTCGATTAATTCGGATTGGGGTCGTCAAATACCTGAATCGCCTGTTAATGTTGGGTTTTTTTCCAAAGGTTTGAGGAATCAACTTTTGCCTTGATTGAAAAATGCCAATGAAGTGTCACATTCACTGAAGGCATGCAGAAATAACATACTTTTTGCTACAGCATCGCTATAACGTAAACTCTGAGGCGAATAGAACACATCCTGCTTTTTGCCTCTACCCGGCTTGCGCAAATAAAGATTCGGGATCTCTCTGGCTTTAGCAGTCAACAACATAAGCAAATCTACATTTTCTCCAATAACGAATACGGAGGAAAAGAGGTACAATCTGCCTGATGATGACCTTTTAGGTCGAAAGCGCTTGCAACCTAATAAATTTATGTGGTCGACAGACTTTGAGCTTTTTACTTCCCTTTAATCTACTTCGGACCACTTTGAGATATGGATAATATTTGGAATTTATTACATAATTGTTTCATAGCGATCTTTATCTCAATCCGCTCTGAAATTCTCATTTTGTTGAACATTGCAAATCAACCATCTACTTAGGCGCGTCGTAGAGCGGGAACTATTGTTCGCAGACAAAAAAATCTGAAGGTCAAAATTGGGCACGATTTTGACCTGCATATATTTCATTTAAACTTTTTTCGATAGCACCTACCACAAGGGCGCTATTTCCCGAAAAGCGTCGCGACGCAGAGTTTTCATCCCTCCACCCCTCGAGAGGCAAACCCTTGAAGTCGCAAACTTAGGTGTAGTATCAGGGGACCCATATCTACTATCCCACCAAATTTCATTTCATTCCGACCTTTTGCAAATAGACCCCATTATTCTTTACCCACCGCTTGGACTAAATACCAGTGTTCTCTAATATATTATAGTCAACTTTTTCCTACTAGATAGTTTAATTATACACTGTAAATAATTTAAGAGTGTAATTTAGCTAAGCGTGTTTAAATATTTGTAATGAAAGTGCACTCTAATATTATAATTGACAAAATTTTTAAAAAAAGCAATTATTTTTCAAACAAAACTATTTTAAACAAACTGCAATATTATTTACTAAAATATGAACCAAGGAAAAATGTGTTAGCATGTAATTAAATACATATAAAACGTATCAAAATCAAAATTGAAATTATATAAATTTGTATATTTTTTGATTACTACATATTTCGCGATATTTATAAATATTTCAAACCTATTCGAAATTTCTGCGGTTTTACCTAAAATAAATTCTTTACAGACAAGACGAAATCCACTTACATTTTGCAATTTGAGTATTTCTTTGACGTTTCTAACGGATTTACTTGGTAGGTAGCTAGTTGTGTTATATTTCTGTCTGAAAATTTCATATTTCAAGATATGTAAATAAAATGATTCCACTATCCTTCCGAAACGCTTTGGGGAAGAAAAGTATGAAATGACTCAAGCATTTCCATCTCGTTTATAGAATCGGCGTATATCATCTCCCTTTCCGTATGGATACTACTTTACTGTCTGAAAGAGTGTCATTGAATATGTACCTACTAAATATTTAATAAAAAACTGGTCATATTTTAGCCCAATGATTGGCTCTTGAAAGGACTGTCTTGATTTGGTAAAGAAAATAGGAAGAGATGACAACCTAGATTCTGAGATAAGGAAGGAGTTAAAAGAAAAAATTATTATGGAGAATTTGTATTAAAAAATAAGATAAATGTGACAATTAAAAAAAACGGGGGCAGACCACGTTTAATGTCCTTTCCTCTATATTTTTAAACTACCACAGGTAAATTAATGATATTTTTGGTATACTTTCATGGTTCGTGGAAAATACAGTGATCTGGTCAGGTTGCTAGGGACGACGGGGGTGTGATGTCATAGAATAAAAAATCGATGTGACAGAAAATATTTTGCTGCGGTTTGTGCATTAGTTTTTTAGAAAATCTATTATTTCATTAACATTTAGTGGTGTTTATATTTTTAATTTTGGACTATTTTCTAGTGTTAGAGTTTTTATAATATCGGTAGTTTTTTTTTGAAAGCTAAGCTTCAAAACAGCAAGGACAATTTATATAATGGTTTCCATCACGATAAATGATATACATTTTACAGGTTTTTCAACTCTTTTTAAAATATGGGATCAAACAGTGCATAGTACTAAAATATCCACCAGAGGTCGGTAGAAGGTGAACCACCGCAAATGAAAACAAATAATTACTGCGAACTGTCAGAAAAATTTAGTAAATTGTATCTTTATCAAGTAAAAAATACCTCTGTATCGATTTTTTTTCAATATTGAAAATTTATTAAGGTCTACTAATCATACTGTATGTAACAAACGAAATGAAAAGTGAAAACAACGAGAAGAAAAATACTACCACATTCCTATAATAATAACCAATCATACATTTCATTAAAACAAAGTGAGGATATTACTATATTTCGTCATTTGTATAGTGTACGAGGCAACAATAATTTTAATAAGAAAAATAGTGTGTATTCTTTCCTACAAAATTGTAAATAATGTTCCAGTAGATTTTGAAAAAATAAGTGTTAAGTGACATTTTAATATTATGTTTACAGAAGAGTAGGTATTAAATTATAACTGCTACATTTTAGATAATAAATAAACACATTGCAAAGATACATGCTTATTTTGTTACTAGTCCTAAACAAACTCACATGGTGGGATCTCCTAATTTCAATAAAATGTGGTTTTCATAACTTGGCAAATTGATGAAAAGGGTAGATACAAAAATAATGAATCTGTAAACCTTTTTTCGTGCCCTTCGGCTAGCAACGCCATACAGCCAATTACTAAGTACGATAAGAGGTTAAAAGTAAGAGTTAAGTTAAACAGTCTATATATTACAGTATTGTTATAGTAAAGAAAATTATCAAAGTAAAGTAAATTGTTAAATTAAATTGTTAAAGGTAAGTAAATTAAATCCTAAATGCTCTCCTAAACCTATTTATTACAATAAATCCTGAAAGGGATTTATACGTGGACACTAGCTTCACGTCTAGGGATCTTTTAAGAAAACTTATACAATACAGGTAACAAACATAAGGCCCACGGTATGAAGAAAGTAACCAAATGGGAAGAAAATAACAAAGGAATAAGGTAACAAGAGCTGGCTAAAATTAAAAAAAAAGTATAAAATTATAAAGATGTTCGGCAATTACGGAAAAAATCGTATAAATATTTGTATGCAGCGATATTTTTAGTTTTCAGAATCTGATTAACATTTTATGGTAATTGAAAACCAATTCTTTGAAGAACTTTGTTGTTTGTTGAATATTTTTCTCACAGGCAAAAACGATATACTCTTACTTCGCTCCTTCTTAGTTGGGGACTTGCCCATTTTCAGGTAAAATAATTCTTAGTTCGCACCGTGAAATAAATTCTTACCTGCTCCCTTCTTAGTTAGGGCCTTTAATCAGGTTAAATTATTCACCTGCTATATTGCAATATGTATGCCGC